ATTTATAATAAATGTTCAAAATGGCCTCCGTCGACGTCAAACACAATTGAAAGCGATATTCAAAAGAGCGACTTTATTAGTTAATAAATTTCTGGTCAATCCCATAAATGTATTTCCAATTTTCCTATATATATCCTCTTTAGTTGTAGCTGGTTTCTAGGATGCCTTGTATTTTATTTAGCCTCAGAAAATAAGATCTAGCTTGTTTAATTCTGTAGATTATGGGGCCACCTTCTCTCTACTTTCGTTCCATATGTACATTTTCTCATCTATGTTCAACGGTATTACTTACAATAATTTCAGCAATCCATTGTCGAATAAATGTAGATACATAGACGTTGAATAACAGTGGAAATTATTTCTATTTACACTACCATTCTTGAAGAAAGTAACTTTATTTTTAAATAAAACGTATTTCAAGAAATATGCATCATTCTGATTTTATTCGTGCGCCCACTGAAAAAATTCTACCCTTTTATGTTATCCTCGTTAAGTTCTTTGCGCAACTCTGCATCATATGGATGTATCTTACTTTTTATTAAAATTTTTCCTACACTAAGACCACTAATTTCAAAATTATATGAAATTTCATAAGGATTACATTTAATCAATTTTCTTATTTACAATAGTTTTTGTTCGATCAGATTTTAGTTCGATCAGTCCGTTAAAACTATTCTAGTAAATCAAAAAGATGCACTTAGACTTAATTTCAATGCAGGGCATCTGCCAGCCAGCCATCTACGCTTATACGTATTTCAACCTCCTAAGTTATCATCAGACCGACATATGCAGAGGCCCTGCTTGAAAATGGATTTAAAATTAAATTTAAATTTTTACTATTGCGCTTTCTACAACTTGCAAAGCAGACAGATTAATAAATCATAGATTGTAGAATTACAGATTCCCTTGCCGATTTTAATTAAATTTCGCCAAGTAGGAAATCTTAGGATTTCTAATGTTATTTTAGTAAACTTTAAAAATCTTCTCTTCTTCGTTGTCTTTTAGACCCACGGAACGTGTTAATCTGTTCAGGCCGGAATTTCCATATACTGTAACATATCGTGTAACAGCGATTCAGGAAATAAGATGGACAAGATCGGGAAGCCTGCAAATGGAAAATTCTCTAGTTTTCTGGTCAGGAGAAGAAGAAAGACACGAATATGGATGTGGGTTTGTAGTAAACGGAAAACTCAAGTCTGGCATAATTGATTTCAAACCAATCAACAAGCGCATGTGCTCTCTCAGACTCAAAGAGAAAACGGTTTAACCTTACCCTCCTCTCAATCCATGCACCAACGGAATAAGCAAGTGAAGACGACAAGGAGGAATTTTATGAAATTTTAGAACAACAGTACACAACGGCACCCAGATACGACGTCAAAATCATACTGGGAGACTTCAATGGCAAACTAGGTAGAAAGGACCATAGCTTACATGATAACACTAATGATAATGGATCAAGACTGGCAGAATTCGCTGCAGCCAACAATATGGTAGTAAAAACTACACAATTCCAAAGAAAATATATACATAAAGTAACCTGGGTGTCAAATGACGGAATCACACGAAACCAGATAGATCATGTGCTTATCGATGGAAGACATTCTAGCAATATCATCAGCGCACACAGTCTGAGGGGAGCAGAAAGTGACTGACCACTTCCTGGTCAGAACAAAAATGAGAACAAGGCTAAAGACGAGACAGCCAAAGCAACGCCAACAAGGAAACAGATGGGACATTTCAAGGCTCGACTTACCTGATAATGAACGCCAATATCAGGCACTGATCCAAAACAAATTGCAGACACTGGAAGAAGAAGAAACATCAACGCCAGAATTGACCATAGACCAGAAATGGCAAAATATAACAAACGCCATAGAAAGTGCCGCAGCGGAAACTATAGGAAAAGAAAGGAATAACAAGAAGAAAAACCAGTGGTTTGACCAGGAGTGCGAACAAAGCTTGCATCAGAAAGCAATCAAGAGGCTAGAGTTACTAACACGCCCTACAGATGAGAACAGGGAAGACTACAACAGAGTAAGGACTCAAACGAGAAGACTTTTGAGAAGAAAAAAGAAACAGTACCTAGAAGCGCGAATACAGCAACTGGAGGAGGAACATAGAACCGGTCAGTCTAGACAGTTTTATAAGGACCTAAAAATAATGAAGGACAACACGACCAACAGCCCAAGATTTAAAAAGATGATGCAGGAAAATTACTTACAGACGACGAGGAGATAAGCCGCCAATGATAAAGTATTTTGAGCAACTCTTAAACACAGAAAAACCCACAACGTCAGGGCAACAAAGACCAGGGCCCACACTATCTGAAGTAAAGTTCGCAATTTCGTCTCTAAAAAACCATAAAGCCCCAGGCCCAGGCAGCATACAGGCGGAACTACTAAAAAAGGGGAAGAAAAGCTCCACCTTGAGATATATCATCTTATAAGAGAAGTCTGGGAAAGAGAAGAAATACCGAAACACTGGCATGAAAGCCATAAAGTACCTATCCACAAGAAGGAAGACAAACAAATATGTCGGAACTATAGAGGAATATCGTTAATTAATACAACGAACAAAATTATATCCGTAATACTGTCTAGAAGACTAACTCCACACGCAGAGGAAAGAATGGGCGACTACCAAAGCAGATTCAGACCGGAAAAGTCGACCATAGACCAGATATTCGTCCTACGCCAGGTGTTGGAAAAAAACTGGAAATTTAACCGCAATGTACAACAAATCTTCATAGAATTGAAGCAAACTTACGATTCTGTTAGCAGAGAAAGTATTGTGGGAGACCATGGTAGAAATGGGAGTACCTGGAAAGCTGGTACGATTAGCGCAGGTGAGCACAGAGAACGATTCCGCATGGATCAGAATTGGCAGCATCACATCGGAGGAATTCCTCATTGACACCGGGCTTAGACAAGGAAATCAAGGAGATAAGGAAAGCTCAACCACAACTGACAAACGGATTTGCCGCTTAACACTTTGACTGCCATGAGAAGCATGCCGTGATGCACGGCCAATTTGATTCAGTTGCCACGAGAATCAGCTTTTGATTCTCGCTTGTATGATATTTATATGGGATAGAAATATGTCCGGCTGGAAGGACCCTCTTTTTTCACTATGGCGGCAGTCTAAGTGTTAAGAATCAAAAATACTATTGGCGTTTGCGGATGACGTGGACACAATTGCAGAATCCACCAGATATGCAAAAGAAGTTTTCACCCTATTCGAAATCGGAGCCAAGGAAGTTGGTCTGAAGGTCAACGAGGGCAAGACCAAGTACATGCTCGTTACGAAGAACCCAAGGTCAAGGGTTAGACAAAACGCAACAATCTATGACTACAACTTTGAAGTCGTAATGACCAGTAACATTGGAAAACTCATTAATGACCGTACTTAAATCAAAAATACTATCAATACCAGCAAAAATAAGAGTGTATAAGACAATAATTCGTCCCACAATAACGTATGCAAGCGAGACATGGACTCTGAACAAGCGGGAAACGACAAAATTACTGGTACTGGAAAGAAAGATACAGCGGACTCTCTATGAGCCTTGCAGAGAAGAGACAACAGGATAATGGAGAAGAAGACACAATGATGAACTACCGACAGTATATAGAGATAAAAACATAGTACGCTACATTAAAGCAAACCGAATAAGATGGGCGGGCCATGTGCTAAGATCGAGTGACGAAAGACTCCTGAACGCCGCCTTCTGGAAAAGGCCCGATGGCAGAAGGTCAGTTGGTCGCTCAAGAACGAGATGGAAGGACGCAGTAGACAGTGATCTACGCAAAATGGGAATACAGCAATGGGAAATAGCTGCTCAGCACTGACAACAATGGAGGGAAATAGTAAACGCAGCCAAGACTTACATAGAGTTGTAGAGCCAAATGATGATGATGAAGCTCTTATGGCTAGTAGCACAATTTTTATACCCTATTCTGGCACAACAGCCATATGAATATGTTCCGATTAAAAAAATGTTAGTAATAGTAACAAGTCATTTAAACTAAGCAAGTTTAGTGTTTTTATTAATACTTTACACACCAGCAATCTTAACTACTTAGGTTTATTTATATATCCAATACTGAAAAGTTAAGGATCAGTCTAGATTATTAGGCATATTTTTTGGAAAAATTATTTTCGATTAAATATTTTCACGGCTAACGTGTTCAATTTTTACCTAATCTTTGCTGCAATTAATGTTAAAAAATCACAAGCAACTCACAAATTAAAACAGTTATAGGTATAGGGAATACTTAATAAAGATTAAAATATCATAAAATAACATTTCATTACAAAACTAAAATACAGGGTGTTCCATTTAAGAAAACTAAGAAAATACTCATTCCAATTTTAGACAATAGTAGACTATTTAAACATAAATATATTGTTTGATGTTAGATCTCTACAATTCCATAAGATGTCAATTTTGCTAATAAATTATTAAAAACACGTAATTTTCTTTTAAACTACCTCATATAATACTGCCAAACATTATATTAAAAAAAAAAGAAAACATCGAAAAGAGTAGAAAAAAATGTAAAATATACAGGGTGCCCCATTAAAAAAAGATAAGTTTGTTCATCCACCTCCGTCAATACGACTGGCTCTATTAATTTAAAAATATTTTTAGAGGATAGTCCAATCTATGCTTCAGCTTTTAACTACTTAATTAATTTTTTTTCGTATCTCGTACGACAAATGAGTAATCAGACTTCCTGGTACTAATGGCGCACCCTGTATAGTTTAATCAGCATCACCAAAGTTGCAATCCATGATCAATTGGATCTTTTAATTGGAGAATAGACGATACTGTTTACCGTTTATATAAAAGAGAACAAAATCCAAAACTACAAAACACATAAAATACCTGCGAAAAAAATGACATACATATTTTATGTTGACCGCTAATTGAGAACAATAACTAATATTATGTACATCAAAATTATTTAAAGATAAATATGTTCAACAGTTTTGATCTACATAAAATTAGCGCATGGATGACACTTGATATGATGATTTTTCAAATTTGATTTTTGGGTATAAGCTTTTGGACAGTACTGACAAGCAAATTGAGGTACTTTTCCACATTCGTATCGAAAATGCCGTCTAAAGGTGTTCATGTTCTTGTACATTTTCAAGCAATTTGGACACTGTACTCCCTCGTTTTCATCTTGTTTGACTAATAGTTTGCCATGTTGGTATATATAAATCGGATGTGTAATATTTTCGCACACAGTTAAAGGGTCCGGCGTTAAACACGAAACAGATTTTTCTTCTTTTTTTGCATCATCGTTATGACTTAAATATATTTTATTGCGGCACGCAACAAGGATTTTGTTAGGTGGGCAAATCCCTGAAAACAAAAAATATCTAAGAAAAATTAATTGACAGATAAATACACCTTCCATTAATTATTGGAATAGGTCCATATCAATTAAAAGAGTAAATGCATAGTTAAAAGTACAATAAATAGAAAAATAAACTTACCTAATCTACTTTCTAATCATAACCAAATTACTAAGATTTGATAGCAAGCTCTTTAATTACATGAGGAATGTTTTTTTATATTATGATATTTCTAGTACACATGAAACAGTTTGTAGGAAAGTTTGAGCAGTATTCACCATTAAATAATCCCATGTGCAGTTAAATATACGCGTTTTCAATTGAAATCCACTTTGTTTTCTTGAGCTGTGGAAAATCACTCAATTGACGTTCTACTATTTTAGTTATGTTTGTAAATGTGACACTGATAAGTTCCAATCATTTATATTTAAAAATGAAATATCCTATTAAAGTAGTGACAGAAAATCTATAACGAAAGAAATCGATTTATCGCCTTGCGATTTTTACATCTTTGGGCCACTGAAATGAGCGTTAAATCGTTCCCAGTCGGGTAACGAAATACAAAACACAAAATAAAAATTTAAGCAACGTCCTCAAGAATTCTTCAAGTAAGGTATACATTCGTTGATAAAACAATGGAATATATTCCTTAAAGTCGTAATTATGTGTAGCTATATTGGCCAATACATTTTTTTTCTAAATCAAAGATGAGTTTCAATTGAAGAAGTCTCGTAGCAACACCTACAAAAGTTGAAGTCACGGTACGAGGACCTTAAGGTCCATATAATAGGAATTATAAGTCAAAGATTATACAGGGTGTGTTAAAAAAAAGCAAGACAGTCAAATATCTCGTGAATTAAACATGGGATTACAAAAACTAAAAAAAAATCTGTTGAATATTTTTTAAAAATCTATCGAATGCCACCAAACGCGACTACCTGCTACACCCCCTGGAGCGAAGAGGAGGCAACTTTAAAAGTTAACTCTTAAAGGGGAAGTCCCATTATTTGTTACAGATTTGAATTCATCACGAAAAAAACTTTTATAAGGAACATTTTTTTCGAATTGTTAATAGATATGGCGTTATAATCGGAAAAAAATGTATTGTGATGCCCTAGGAAAATTATAGAAAGGGTTTAATATCTCGAGAAATACACTACCAAATGAGAAACCACAAAACAGGTGTTTAATATTTTTTTAAAATGTATGGACTGGCACATAAATGCACCGCACCTCCACTACCTGGGGGTGGGGTAGCATGAGACTTTCAAATTTTTATTTTTTATTGCAAATTAGGATTCTATCTGAAGAAAATAAACAAGTTTATCGGATTTTTTTTCGATTCGAGATAGATGGCGCTGTAAATATAGAAAAAATATATACAGATCTGCAATGTCTGCGAAGTCTGCAAACTAATTTTTATGGTACTGAATATAGTCTTTTAAAAATGTATTGTAGGATTAAAATACAAACACAAAAAACACGCTCTATAGTTAAATAAATAATTCAGTAAAAGAAGCTTACGAATACACAAGAGATGAAGACAACATTTTAAAATTAACTAAAGAGAAGATATTGTAAATATTCCTTTGTGCCTATTCTAAAGTTGTCACTTTATCATTAGCCGAATATAATACAATATAAAATATAAAAAAAACAAGTTCTAGAAAGTATTAAGTCATAGTGTAATCCAAAACAATATTGGTTAGTGTAATATGTAGTGTTTATAATGTAATAATTATGCTATCAATAGTTAGAAATTTAATTATGGATAACTAAATCAGTGACCTATAATTAAGTAAAAACTACAAATGAAAATACCTAAAAAATCTTCTAGAAACAAATTTCTGTACTTTGATGGCTTGTCTTTCTCTCCCTAAAAGTCTGTCTTCGTTACCACTACATATTAAGATTAAATAAGACATATACAATGGTCTATTATCTGTAATCATAAGTAGATGGCACCACGTAGAAAAATCACTGTTAAGCGGGAAGTTTTCTTAAGAATCCTTCCTTTTTCTTCCCGAGTCTTTTTTCGAGCTAACACTACCTTATAAAAACTAAACTGTAATGTGATTGGAGACAGACTGTTAAAGATAAAAGATATGCATTCATGTCTTTTGGTGCGTAATAATAAAAAAATACATTTGAATGTTTTACAACCACAAGGCTAATGAAAAAGCTATTATTAATTAAATACTAAAGTTTTTTTCTGCTTTATAATTATGTTAATATTCGATTTCATATTGTATAAAAGAAAGTACTTTGTTTTCTTACATTCTTCATAACTTTTGTTAAACGCATATTTTTTCCAACAGCATCAACAAAATTAACACAGAATATTTCTTTTTCTATTAACGTTTAACGTAAAAAAATTGTTATTTAATAAACAACAATAAAATCTCATTTTATCAACAAGATTGGAGATTTTAATCTTAAAACCTTGGTCGTCTACTAGTTATTGGTGACCATTAATTCAAAGCAAACGTTATTGACATACCGCACAGAAAAAAAATCAGTTAGGACTAATTCGGCAGATCACGGTGGTCACTGAATCGTCTTGTTTATCGATATTATTGTACAGTATAAAGCCATAACAATCATTTTCCTTTTAATTTTGGGGAGCAGTTGGAGAGCTATTTTTATAGTTTGCACGATGGGCGATATGTTGCTTGCACTCCCTGTAGGTTAATAAATTCAAATTCGTCTTATTCGAGCAATAGCCAGGCGTTTTTGCAGTAGCTAAAAGTACTTATTTTGAAAATAAATACTTAAATACACTACACTACAAATAATAATATTAACATCGTTCAGCATTTTGCCGGGGAGATGTTTTCGGATTGTTGCGGTGACTATTGCATCTTTAACCATGTTGCAGGAACTAGTGTCGATGCATACTACCCCAGAAAGACCGACCGCTTTACGGGGCCTTTGAAATAACACTTCAAATATTTTTCTCGGCTATTTGCTTGTTTGATTGTTGATTACCTTGCGAATTACCTGGTAATTTGAATGGTAAGGTTTATTTACATTTTTTATAAAACGATTCTATTGATTTATTGAAAGAATTGTCCTCAAACTTAAGGCGAAATATGTGGTTTATACAAGATGGTACACCACACATTATAGAGAGAGAGAGGGCAGTGAGAACATACTTAAATACAACTTTCCTGAACGTTGGATTGTTCGTGGTAGTCATATTCCTTGGTCATGTGGTGAAATATTAATATAATTACTTAATGCATAAAAATCCCAAAATAATACTTATTATACTTATTCTAATAAATACTGCAACAGTTTCTTTAGAACCAATGATGATATTTAATATGAGACGTTCTTTTATGGAATGTATTGACACATGAATTAAATAACTTACTTTCACAAAACGTTTAATGATATTTAGTTTAACTATTTCTTAATTTGGTTTGTAAATAAAATATTTTGATAATGACTTTAATTTAATACAAAACGTAAAATGTTTATATACTGCTGATATATTTATTTTATTTAATATTTCGTTAACTATTAACTTTATTAAAGGCATTTTATGCAAAAATTCAGAAGTATTAATGTTTTTGTCCAATTTTCTTTCGTTGCTTCGAGTAAAAGGGTTAAATATGAATTATTTAGTTGATTTTTAAAATGCGATTATCTCGAAAACTGTTCAATTTTGAAGTTATCAACAGGTATACCTCTTTTGTTAAAATAATGTATCTTTAATATTTTTAGTTATAAATTTTGATATATAAATATTCACAAACATGAAAGTTTTAGCGAAAAATAAAATTTTTAATTTCAACTTTAACGCCCTGTATCTTTCTTAATATCAACATTTTATTAAAGCAACTTAGCTTAAATCGTGATATTTTAAAGTGTAGAATCTACGGTTTCTTTTTGTACAATTACTAAAGGACCACCCTGTATATTGTTTTTACTATTCTTATTAGTCTATTATAATATAACCTTTTTTAACCCTATTTAATTATATATTCTAATTAGTTATTTCATTTAAAAGCTAGTTTTATATTTTTAAATTCCTCCCTGTAAAACTAGCTCACGGATGTGGTTGTCAAGTTCTGGGAACGCAACTTGTCTAAATAACCACACGTTTTCACGCGGCATATTATCATGCACGTATAGTTTCGGGCACGTAGCGTTTCCTGTCCAGCAATTGAACTGCGCGTTCACATTTTCATACATAGAACGTTTCAGTTTGGTGCGATGAGGATTTTGTTCTCGCTTTTCGCGACAAAAATTCATTATAAGCATTCACAGTAAAGGGACAACTTTAAAACATTTTTTCTGCTGCTGGAAAACTTGACTGGCAACAATAATTTCTATGTATTTCGGGTAATTAATACATTTTAGACGGATTAAATATTTGTGGTATTATTTGATACCTACTTACCATTTTGTCCTAATTTTGCATGCAATTTCCTTCCAAATATTTTCTTTTTTATTTGCATTCTGATAACGTTTATATCATTGTAGTTATATAAAATTTCTTCACCGCGTACGAGTTCAATTAATTTTTCGAAATCCATTTTAACTTGTAAAAAGTCTTAATTGTTTATCACTTTCGTATTTAATTGTCACAAAGCAATGAAAACACATGCATAAATAACAAAATAGCTTCGAACATTATTTTTTTTAAATACTGTATCAAAATCAATTTAAAACCTTTAAATTATATTTTTCGGAAACTAAACGCTACGTGCTGGAAATTGCAACGTGCATGATAATATGCATAAAATATACTACCACATAATAAAAGCCTAAATTATACTGGCATAATACCACAAAACGCTTTTAAAAGATCAAATTTGTTGAAACATCTAAATTATTGCATTTCTTAAAATGTTAATGCATACACTATTCTACCAAAAGCTCGAGATAACAGTTTTAATTAATTACGATATACTCTATATTCGGTCAAAAGATCCCTGACCTCCTAGATAAGTTGATTTGTCCCTATTAAACGGACAGTACTTAATAACTAACAGAGCT